GAAGGGGCCTGCAGGAGAAAGCTGGTTTTCAATGATGAATTAGCCCATTTTAACTGAGCCCATCATGTTATAGTTTTGTGAAAAGCCCATTTGGAGGGCAATAACAGGTGATACCTGGTTACAAAAAGCTGGTTGCTCTTTTGGCCAGGCTTTCCAAGTAAAAGAAGTTGGATGTGCTTCCTCAGAAGTGATTCAGATGCTTCCCGGTTGAATTCAGTGCCTTCCTTTAAACAGTATCTTTCCTTCCATGACCTTGACTCAATTTTATTGTCACATAAATTCCCTTTCTTGTAAATATGGCTATGGACATCACAGTCATTGGGGAAAGAAAGTGTGATTGCTCTGCTGGCTTTAGGAAGTGAGCCTGAGGATTACGTGGCACAGACTACAAATGATTTTTGCAGGTGTGTTTACAGTTTGCTCATTTACATCTACATGTCGTAGCTCTCTGGTAACAACTTTCTACTAGCCTGAGCATAGCAGACAGCACGGGATGACTGTGCCACTGGATAAAATTTGCTTTTTCTTCTGATTTTTATCATACCAGTACTGCAAACAAATTTGATTTATCATTTATATATATTGAATTCCTTGAAAGTTGAGTGAAGGAAGAAACCGCTTAGAATTTATAATAAAAATAATAAACTGCTAGGTGCTGTGGTGGATGTCTGTAATCCCAGCAGCTTGGGAGGCTGACATAGGAGGATCACAAGTTTAAATCCAGCCTCAGCAAATTAGCATGGCCCTCAGCAGCTTAGCAAAATCCTGTCTCAAAATTTAAAAACAAAAAACAACTTTAAAAAGGGTTGGGGATATGGCCTCTGGTTAAATACCTGTGGGTTGAATCCCTGGCACCAAAATAATAATAATAACAACAACCACAATTAATGCTGTGTGCTTTCCAGGGGTCAGGCATTCTCTAAGCACTTTAATATAAAAAAATAAATAACCTGATGCTGTGTGCTTTCCAGGCATTCTCTAAGCACTTTAATATAAAAAATAACCTGATGAAGTAGATTTATAAAGAAAGTGGAAATTGAAGAAGCTAAGCAATTTTCCCAGGTTTAAGAGTGCCTTAGTCTATTTGATCAGCTATAACAAACTACCATAGACTAGATAGCTTATAAATAATAAAAGATTGTTCCTTATAGTTCTGGAAGATGAGAAATCCTAGATCAAAGTGCTGTTAAATTCAGGGTCTGGTGAGAGCCCACTTTCTGGTTCATAGGTGGCCATGTCATCATGTGGTGGAAGGGGCAAGAGAGTCTCTACTCCTCTTATTAACTATTCCTCTTATTAAAGGGCACTAGTCCCATTCATAAGTGCCCCACCCTCATGACCTACTAGCCTCCAAATGCCCCACTTCCTAATACATTACCCTGGAGGTTATGTTTTCGTACATGTAGTTCTGGTGGACACAAACATTCAGAGCTAGAAAACAACAGAGTTGACAACCCAGGCAACCTAATTCCAGAATCCATCTTCTTAACCACTGCACCATACTGATGATACTTTCTATATGGCTACAAGTATAGCCACAGTTTAACTGAAAATAGAAATTAATTCTAGTAAAGGACAGTTAGTACAACCTGGGAATCATGCTTAGGTAGTTTAGTATAGAGATTCAAAATTTAATGTCTGCATCCTCCCTGGGAGGGAGACTACTAAGGTGTGTTCTGTGAGTTTAGAGGGCTGGAGAACTGGAACATGCCTGCTCATTATGAAGGAAGCAGCTGTGGTAATGTTTCTTTCTTTTCTTTTTTTTTTTTTTGTCAATCCCCAAATCTGGATTTTAATGTGAGACTTTCAGTTCTTAAAATTACCTTGCTATTAATAACTGTGCTTTATGAACGAATGATTAAATTGTACTGCTGTGTAATATACACAAGGTTTTCCTGCAGAAACCATTACACCCCCAAGCTCTGGGGCTTACACAATTAAAGGTTACTTCTCATGAATGCTACTTGCCCAACAGTTCAGTGGGTCTCTGCTCTTTGGATGTCCCAGAGACTCAGGCTGATAGGCTTTATTTGAACGCATTTTTTATACAATAATAATAAGGGATACAGATTGTTTAGGCTCCTATTTCATTAGTCAAAGACAGTGAACACTTGTAACTTCTAGCAGGTGTGGGGAAGTGTGGTCCTTCCCTGGGCTGAAAGAAAGAAATGTTTATGAATATCCCTAATGACTACCACAACTCCATGCATTCTGATTTTTAAGCCTGAAATGTTAGAATTTTTCTTAGATAAAATCCAGTTTTCTCAAATCTGAAGCAGAAGTTGATTGAAAAAAATTGGTTTCAAGTATTAAATTAGATCTATCTGGAAAATTCATGTTTTGCTTAATTTGGATTAATGGCACTTATTTAAACATTCTTTTCTTTTAAGAAGCTGATTAGGAAATCATGTAGGAACTGTGAAATACTTCTTACCCCAAATTATGATTTCTAGATGAATGTTTAATTCAAAACACCCTGCTCATATATTTAAAATATTTGTTTATGTTACCCTTATCTTGTAACTTGTCTTATTAACTACACTGTAAGATAAGAGTCTTATTAATTTATACTCAGCACTGAAAATTGTTATTTATTAGATATTAATACATTTTATTGGTATGCTTATCCATTAGAGTTTATAAATCACTGTAATTAGATATCCTGACATCAGGAGATGGCACAGAAGTTGAAAATGTTTCAGGCAATTTCATGAAAGTTGCTTGTTGTTGATTATGGTGGGCTATGACAGCCAAAATTCAGTCATCCTTCAATTTCAAGGGCAGTTCTGGGATATACTCTATGAATCACAAGGCAACCGAACTTTCTTTTCTAATACCATTTTTCTGTGATGTTTTCATATGCTTTATTTGGCTGTAAGATTTGGATGAATTTTAACTTTAAAAAACTTATGAAGCAAGTATAAGTGATCAGGGAGGAATTTGATTGCCTGAGATTTTGCAAGACCCTGAACGCTCTTCAAAACAAGCCCATCCTAGCTCCTAAACCCACACCCTTCCTGGATGACCAGATAGAGGGTGATTCTCATTCTCATGAAATGCAAAGTGCTCAGGGACATGGATTTGTGAGGACACAGCTTGGCCCAGGAAGAGTATTTCTATAATTTCATGGTAGAATTATTCCCCTTGGAGAAAGTTGTATGAACACAGTTACTCACTGGTCAAATCCCAACCATGCAAGTATGTTTCCAAAATCAATCACTCTTAAGTTGTTCCACATGTACTTGTAAATATTCAAATAATGACCCATATGACTGAAACCTTTGCTGTCCATCTGCTGATCCTCAAGGTGGAGGAAGGTATAATAACAGCATTAAGATTTTGGTGTCAGATGACCTGAGTTTTAAAACCAATATTGACACCATATCCTTGCTGTGTAATGTTGGCAAGTCATTTAACCTCAGTAATGTTTCAGAGTCCTCATTTGTAATGTGGAGATAGAAGGTAGCACTTAAATCATACGATTGTTGTGAAGATTCAGTGAAGTAACGTGTACATCACATAAGGCATGCCAGGTACCTGGTAAACATTCTATAAAAAACAGTTATTATTAATATTTTATTAGTTTCTTTATAAAATCATGTAAGCAGAGTCAAAGGATCTCAAAAGTAATTGGATTCAGCCACCCATCCAATAATTTAATCCCCTCTATGTTTTTTCTCATATCGAACTAAATTATGCTTAAATTTATAGCTTTCACTGGTTTGGAAACATAAAGAACAAATGGAGACCCTTTCCTCATGACAGATCTTTGTGAATTTGAAAATATCTCTAAACACAAGCTATTCCCTAGAGCTCCTTGGAACTTTTCCTACTTCTCCCTGAAAATTTCATTTCATCTTTCTCCTTCCCTTCAACACTAAGTTTTGGAAAGAATAGTCTCTAGATGTGGTTTGAACTTCCTCCAGTCTTATTTTCTCTTCAACACCTTGGGTGTAGAGTCTGATTCAGCACCTCCTTAAGTCAAAGCACAGGGGCTAGCCTGCAGTCAAAAAAAGTGGAATGCAGAAGTAACTAATAAAATTGACCTTTTGTTCAACCCTTTGTCATGTGTTAATAATTACACTGAGAGTTTTGCATATATTTTCTCATTTAATCTTTGCTAGGCTTCTGTGAAGTACACATTTGCATTATTATCTCTGTTTTACTGTTGAGGAAAATCAGTCTCTGAGAGTCTGAATGGTCCTGTGCTTTTAAAGGCATAGTGGGTGAGTCAGGATGCATACATGGCCCTCTGCCTCTACAGTTTCTGGACTTAAAACCAGGTTTACAAATGTAAAGTTGGATGAGCATGGGAAGCAGAAATAAATAGTCGTATCAGTTCATTTTGCACACATAATGTAAAAGATTTGTGAAATATATATAAATATAAAACTCAACTTTTTTCTTACAAAGAAGGCTCACAGTATAGAAAATAACACATACATCCACGTGCTAAATAACTCTGAAAACTGGAAAATAACAGTGTAAACATATAAGACATCTATTCAAAAATTGTTCATAAATATATAGATATAATGATATAAAAGTGGAGATATGCAGGCAAAGACATAGATAATGATAAAAAGGAGATGTAAAAATATAGAATAAAGATACAGATACATAGATGTAGAATATGGGTAGCTGTAGAGAGCACAGACAGAAGGATGTATACCAGTTTCAGATAGCGGCTGTTTGGGGGAGGAAATGAGAGAATGGACCAACTTTGGGGATAGGGAGATAAAAAAAATGGTGGGGAGACAAAGAGGAAACAGCTATAATGCTTCTTTTTATTTTATATACTTAAAAGTATCTGGATAAAATATAAATAAAAAAAGAGCAGGGTTAGAGGGTCAGCTTCATTTCTTTTATGGTCCTTGCATAAGAATTATATAAATGACATACCTAAGATTTTCTATGATGTTTTCATAAAGGGAAGACTTTCTCATAGTTGTGCCTCTGTGATTTCACCTGCTTTTGACCACTTGGTCCTTCCTTTGCAGGCAGTGGGCTGCGATCGGCAACTCGGGAGTGACGCTAAGGAGGACAACTGTGGTGTCTGTGCTGGAGATGGCTCCACCTGCAGGCTGGTGCGGGGACAGTCAAAGTCGCATGTTTCTCCTGAAAAACGTAAGTTTTGAAACCCAAAACCTTGTTGCCCTAGAACAAGATATATTTTAGACTATTACTAGAATAGCAATTTCCTAATTCTGACAGCTTCTTTTAGTTAGAAATAGCTTTGATTTTTTTAAGTCAAATTTCATTCTAAAAGTATAACCATAAGTTGGGTTCCTATTATCTCTTTGAAGACTGACCATTTCATGAACCTTTGCCAATAGAGTATTGCTATTTTAACAACATTTGCTGATTTTTCAGGTAAATTGTGAAGCAATACATTCTTTTATTTGCCTTTCTTTGATTGATAACAAGATAGAAAATATTGTATCATATTAATTTCCCCTTTTATTTTTCCATTTGCTATTGAAATCATTTATCCGTTTTCCTATTTGTTAATTGTTTCCTTTGGTAAACTTGTAATACATCATACCTATTTCAAACGTGCTTTCCAGTTTTTCATTTGACTTTCATTTTTGTTTGTGTTTATGGTATCAATAGTTTCTAAGTTTTATTTACTCAGAAGTTTCCATCTTCTCATTTCAGTATGATCTGCCTTTTATTAGTCCTTTAATTAGTCAGTGGTCAGTAAACTTTCTGTGTTGAGGGCCAGCTAGTTAATATTTTAGGCTTTGCAGGTCATAGCCCAGCTATTTGACATCACCACCGAGTGCAAAAGTGCCCACAGACAACCTGTATACAAGTGGGCGTGACTGTGTTCCCATAAACTTTATTTGCAAAACAGGCCACAGGGACTTCAGGGAGGGGTCTGAAGACTGGGATTCTTTCTTGCCAGAGCAATCAGCTCAAAGTGAATCATTTCTACATGGATTTAAGGGGAGAATCTCTATCTATACTAAGTCAAGGGGAGCAAGTCTCTGTCTACATTGGCTCAAGGAAGTGAGTCCCCATTTATACTGGCTCGAAATGGGAGCAGAGGATACTCCTGGTGGATCCAGATGTGCTCCTGGCTGTAATCCTTACAGAGAAGCCTGAGTCAGTTTGCACACCTCATTCCTGCAGCCAGTTTCCACACCTCACTGTTCCACACCTGACAGATCCACACCATGACACCAGGATTCACAGAGCTCAAGGTCCTCTGGCTGTCCACTGGTTTTTGTCTCTTTCATATCTCCATTTTCATTGGCGTCACTGAATCTAGCATATTTATGCTTTCCTTTCATTACAGCCACTTTTTTCCCTCCCTCTTTCCCTCCCTCCCTCTCCTTCTCTCTCCCTTCCTCCCCGTCCCTTTCTTTCTTTCTTTTGAATGCCAACCCACAGAAGCATGGCATACAACAACACAACTGTTTTATGCAGGTGGTGATCCTTCTAGTCTCCCACTTCTAGCCTTTGCTGTTGTCATGGGGTTGTCCTGTGGAGGGTAAGATTTTTTCTGACTTGGCACCTTGGGAGGACTTACTGCTCTCTATGCCCCATCTACTCATGATCCTCCAGGAGCTGAGCCTGGGGAACACAGGGTCACACTGTGAGGCCATGCTGGGAGTGAGGTCCATGTGCACAGGGAGCAGAGGTGAATGGTAGGCATGATGGCCCTTCCATTGCCCTTATACAGTGACTGCTTGACCTCCTCAGGCAGCTGCTGCTCACAGGGCAAGGGGAAGGTGGGAAATGCAGGCTCACAGGCACCCTCTTTGGATGGACAGGGAAAGGATCTGCAGACCCTGGGCAAGGCCCAGTCCTCCAAAGTACAAATTTTACCTGGAACATGCAGCCTGCCCCTGAGTTTTCTGGTGCTGAAGTATCAGGTATGTAGCCATTACCTCATCCTTTTTTTGATTTTCCAGGGACACCCAAGTATTACATGGATAATAACCCATGTCAAGCATGATTATCGTAATTGCAGAGTCTGAAGTGTTTGGGGAATGGCTCACTAGAATAATTGGGTGAATATTCCTCACCCTGACTCAGCTATGGGTGCCCATGATTTGCATGGGGTCCACCATCAGAATTTGATGAGGCTCTGTGCTCCCTTGGCAATGCGCAGGAGAATGTCATACCTTATGTGCATGATCTGCTCCTTCAGCTACTTAATGGTGGTCCCCCTAAATGGGGGTCTCTCTGTGACCATAAAATACAGACTACACCAAGGCTCCAGACTTCAGCCAGGGAAAGAGGGGGGAGTCATATTCTTACCACTGGATGACTTCAGGGCAAGGTTCAGGAGAGAATACCAAAATTTGTTCAGCTTCTGCCCAGCTGTGCACCTGGTACTCAGGCTGAAGTTGATGAGTTTGATGTTGCCTCTGGCATCCATCTGGTTTTCTTCGCCTTCAGCTCTTGATGCACAATGCCCTTCTCATGGCAGTAGTGCATGGTGCTTGCAATCTGCTTGAATAGTCTCCAGGCCTCTTCCTCCTACTAGTCTCTTAGATGTGGTGCCATACATAGCTGTTTTCCACCTGCATGCTCCATGATAATATAATTATTTTCCATGTGCTCAATGACCTGAAAGAGCTGGATCACATTTTAGTGTTCCACAGTCATTAGTATATCTGGCTTAGATAAAACAGGAAGTTCTTTTCTACCACCCCTGTACTGGTGAAAAGGTGACAGACTAGATTTACCTGGCCAAAGTCCCCCTGCCTGATGTGTCTCAGGGCCTGATAATGGACCATGAAGGTATTCTCATAGCAGGAGTTGGCTCCTGCAGCACCACACTACTCTGACTACTCTTACTACACCAACTAAGGATGCTAGATAAAACAGCAGCGACAACAAAACAACACACATACATACACACCTAGACCCCACAAAACAAAACAGAAACCCAAATCAAATAAAGAATATCAAAAGACCACAACCACCAAATGCTCTATCTGGGAGTTTGATGGGTCACCATCAAGTGCTTCCTGTATTTATGGACAAAAGAGCCACAGCCAGCCCTTTACATTCCTGTAATATGTTCCTTGAGTCAGTGTAGTGAGGATTCACTTGCCTTCGGTCATTGTAGATGGAGACTTGCTCCTCTTAGTGTAGAAGGAGATTCTCCCCTTAACCAGTGTAGCCATGATTCAGTTTGAGCTGGTTGCTTTGGCCAGAAGGAATCTCTTTCCTAATCTTTAGGCCCCTCCCAGAGGTCTCTGAGGCATATTTTTGCAAATGAAGTTTTATTAGGACACACCATGTCCACTTATTTACAGGTTGTCTGTGGTGTTTGAAATTCCCTCATGGTGGCTTCTTGTGAGGTCAGAACAAAACATGGCCCAGTTATACCTGTAACCCAGGACCTTTTCAACTTTCAAAATGAGAATTAGAAAGGACTCCAGAAGCTTTTGCTTCAGTGGATTATGGAGACTTCTATTTCCTTTGTTTAGGAATGAAAAATTGTAGGATACTTAAAAACAAACAAAAGGCTGTAGCAGAATTTGGCCTTTAGGTTGTAGTTTGTTGAGACTCCTAATTTGAAGGGGGAAATTATTGTGCATATGGTCTGCTGGTGCATTTATGGTTTTGTTTTTGTACTTTTAAATTTTATTCATTTGAATTTATTTTGATGTGACTTATGAAGTAGGAATCTTATCCTCATGTGGTCAGAATATTACAGGAGGGGAGGGGAGAAGAGGAGGGAGGATCTTCTAGGCACAGGAATCATGAAGTTCCTAGAGGAAAACCACGCTCTTTTGAGGAGGTACTGATATTGGCTCAGGCCTGAGGGCACATTGAATAGAGTGGAAGATAGAACAGAACGGCATCAGGAGTCAACCATGCAACCCTTCATTGTTGCACTCTGTATCTCGAGTTAAGTGGAGTCATGACAGCAAGTTAGGCAGCAGAGTGACACAGTTAGACTTGTGTTTTAGTAAAAAAAAAAAAAAAAAAAAAAAAATTCTGGCCGAAGATGGAGGTTAGGTTACTTGTGCGGTGAATCTGGAAGCAGGAAGTCCAAATAGGAAGCTTTCTGTAAAATATTCCAGGATGTTTGCAATAATGAGGCTTTGGTCTAAGGGTTTGTTAATTCTTTGAATGAAGACTAAAAGATCAAAGGAAGGAGCTAGGATGAAACAAATCTCTCAGCCTGTGCAGCACATTCAAGCTTATTTGTGTCTTTTCTAAGAAATGTGGGGTGAGCAGTCGGCTGAGAAGCTGTTCTATGATATCTTCTCTCTCCTCATCCTGAGAGGGTGGCTTTCATCTCTGTAGCTACAGAGTCATTACTAAACATTTAGACACTACAGCCACATCCCAGATAAGGAAGAAGTTAGTAACAAAGATCTTCCAATATTGTGTCCTTTATCCAGGAAGGGAAGTCTTCCACAGGGCCTTTTTGGCCTCCTCAACCAGAGATATAGCACCTGCACTTGACACACTTGCTTCTAAGTGGGTGGGAGGCCCCACACTCAGCATTCCCTTCCTTCTGTCATTGCTGATACTGATATAATGCTTTATAATTCCCAAAGTTCTCTTCAGGCATATAATATCAGTTGATTCCATCAGCATTCTTACATTATAGTCTTCACATTGTCAAACCCATTTTTAACAGCCAGAGATGGTAAGAAACATCTTACACAATTATATTATGAAATACAATATAGGAAAGCAGCTAGGACTTTGAGATTCTGGACTAGACTGCCTGGGTTTCAATGCTGGATCTGCTGCTTCCCAGATGTGTAAGTGGGGCAAGTTATTTAACTTCCATGTGTACTTTGGTTTTCTCATTTTAAATGGGGACAATAACAATAGTCATTACAAACTGGGAATAACCACAGCACTGTCTTGGTAGAGTTGTTGTCAGGACTGCATAAATCAGCCCATGCTGGGTGTGCCACATGTGTTGGCACCTAAAGATGCTCAGTAAACACCAGCTATATTTTTATTAGAGACATTACTCACTTGGGTACCAAGGGGCGTCATACCTCTTACATAACTTAAATGTAGATATTTGTAAACAGTTTCAAATAAATAATAGGTTTCTTTTAAAATATTTTTTAAATTGTAGATGGACACAATACTTTTATTTATTTTTATAATGTGGTGCTGAGGATAGAACCCAG